CCCCTTTTACTTTTACAAGTGCCCCTATTAATTTTTAAAAGTGCCCCTTCCCCTTTCCACCTCTGATAAGTGCCCCTTTTATTTTGACACATACCCCTTTTCCTTCGACAAGTTCCCATTTTTCTTTGCAGTAAGTGTCCATTTTCCATTCTCATAAGTGCCCTTTTTAATCTCTAGTAAGTGCCCCTTTTCATGTACGAGAAGCGCCCATTTTCACTTTTGATAAGCGCCCCCTTCACCTCTGATAATTGCCCCTTTTAATAACTACCCCTTTTTAACTCGGATAAGCCACCTTATATTTTCACATGTGCTCCCTTCCTCTCTAATAAGTGCCCCTTTTCCTTATGAAAGGTGCCTCCATTTAAAAAAGAGCCCTTTCCCCTTCTCAAATTTTTTCCCTTTTCATCTATGCAAATAGTCCCTTTTCATTCTCATAAGTGCCGCTTTTCTTCTCTGGTAAATGCCTCTATTCAAAATCTGTAGTTGCCCCTTTTCTTTCAACAAATGCACATTTCCCATTATTATTAATGCTCCTTTTTCATTTTTATAAGTGTCTTTTTCATCCCTGCAGAAGAAGTGCCCCATTTTCACTTTTTTTTTCCGCGCTCGCAAATGAATTTTCAGACCATCACACGCTTACCAATGTCTAAAAAATTGTATATTTTCGCTTTGAGATTTCCCTTTGGAGGTGCCCCTTTTTTTCAGAAAGTGCCCTTTTATGTTGGTGCCCCCCCCCCCCCCACTTTGAAAGTTGCTCCGCCGCCTCTGAGTACCCCCCCCCCCCCTCCCCCGGGGATACAGCGATCAGAGTCTTTTGTTTGATAAATACATTCGGACTGAAAGGCGCTTGTTTCAGGACAGATAAAATTGGTGGTAAAGGTGCTTGACTTTGAAGTTTGAATATTCCAAAGTCAAAGCTAAAAAAACTGAGAAATAATACCATGCACTTTAAGTAATCATTGGTTGAATCTACATTGTATAAGCTATCCCTCTTGAATGAATGTTGCGCCTTTTCAGAAGCCAAGTTGTTTTTCTCGTTAGACACGCTTATACCCGGCTCAAAGTCTCAAAATTTTATGTCAGTTGCGGATCCAGGGGGGGGGGGGGAGCACAGGGAACACGTACCCCCCCCCCGGCCAAAAAAAAGTTTTTAAAAAATGTGCTCTTACCCCCCCCCCCCCCCAGCTTATTCAGCGGTTGGCTGAGTCATTGTGATTTTTTTTGGACCAACATTTTTTTGTTTTAAATGTGCTCTTACCCCCCCCCCCCCCCGTGTGCCCCCCCCCCCGGGAAGAAATTCCTGGGTCCGCCCCTGTATGTAAATTGAAATTTGTGTCTATGACGTGTATGCAGAGCTCTTTCAGTAAAATGACCGTCATAATTCGAATACAAATGGAAAATGTCTATTTCGGGAAATCTGATTACGACGGGGGCAACCACTGTCTTGAGATCAACCTTCTGCTCAAGTAAAGTTGTGCAGCTTTTAAATCTTCAAGTCTTTCCCAAAGTGCCACCAAAATTAAAATATCAGAATTCTTTTCAAAACCATTTTTTAAGGGTATTTTCTTACCAAGTATATTATGGTGCCATCCACTTCAAATATATTTTTCTTCTTTTTTATTCCGTGCTTTTGCGGACACCTCTTACACTTATCGAATAGCGCTTTTGATCGTCTACATTCAGCCTTGATTCGCAGCAGATTTCGTAAGTAACAGAATTGCTTGTTTTCCATAACTTCTAATTTCGAACAACGTTATCAATAGGACACAGATGGTATTGTAATTATTTTCTTAGAATAAACTACAATATGAAATTTAGTACGGATCGTTAACCTAACTTTTGAGAAGTCTGAATGTTGAGGTTTCTATTGCACAGTGCAGTCCCGACTGTTAAATTTAATGTGGTGCGGCAAAACCCGGTGCCCAACTTTCCAACCATGACTCGTGAGCTTTTTCTTCTTCCTGTTCTGTACAGTTCACCTTGGGTGTATAGTCGTACTCTGTAGGCAGTATCTTACTGTTAGTGTTAGATGTATTCAAATTTAGAACCTTAGTGTAACTGATTGTAAACTATTGATCAGGTGGTTGAAAATGATGAGGAATATTTACTTAGGCCTAGGCCTACTTTACTTTAATCCATCGATGCTTGTAGGGCAATGCCTATTCATCGATCATCGGGTTAAAATCATTTCCATATCTCTTCGGGCATAAGTCTTATCAAGTGAACATTTGTCCTTCATACATACATGTTTAAACTGGATAGTGATGTTGTGCATGTAGCAGAATCAGTTCTCAATTTGAATATTTCTCTCCTTCGGGGTCAAAGACGGTAGGTAGATTCTTCCAGTGTTTGTCTAGTCTGTTTTTGAAGGAGTTAACTGAAGGAGCTGAAACTACCTCTTCTGGTAGATCATTCCACGAGTCAACCACTCTGTGAGAGAAGAAGAATTTTCTCACATCCAGGCGTGTGAATGATTTTTCAAGCTTTAGTGAATGACCTCTTGTTCTTTCTCCTCTGTGAAGATGTAGGAATTCTGCACCAGCATTGTATAAGTCATGCAAATACTTATAGACTTCGATCATGTCTCCTCTCCTTCTGCGATGGACAAGGGATGGCAACTTCAGTTTTCTCAGTCGTTGTGGGTAAGACAAGTTCTTCAGGCTTGGTACCATCTTAGTGGCTCTTCTCTGTATGCCTACTGTTTCAAGTCGTCTCTGATCTCCTAGCCGAGATTGACTGTATTCCAGGATTGGTCTAATAAGTCCTTTGAAGAGAAGTTTAAGGGTTTCCTCATCAATAATTACAAAAGATCTGCGAATCAGACACAGTATCTTATTAGCTTTGGAGACAACATTAGAGATCTGGGGGCCGTTTCTCGAAACCGTCATAACTACAAGATCAACGACATCTCGCCACTGTCACGCAACTTGTCAGCTAAGTGTTTCACAAAGCCGTCTTTGCCAAGATGAGCGACAACTTCCGCGACAAGCGAGTTGTCACTGCTCCGAACCTGTCATATTTTTTTAATTGCTGTAAAGCGCCATCACAAGTCAGTTTGTTGCCATTCCATGGGCCGCGAAATTGACGATTAGTTTCACTATCATTTTGAGAAAAATATAGACGAGTTCGGTACGTTATTCTCTGGGATGCGAAATGCAAATGTACAAAAGTGAGAATACAAATTATTAAAGCTGAATATAAACATTAAATCACAAATCATGAAACTATAACATATAAATAAGAGAGGTAAGAATGTTACACACCGTTTTCCATAGTCGATCCATAGTCTTTTCTTAGGATACCGTCATACCTTTGGGGCCTATGTGCATTATTATTCCCTCTCTAATTACTTCTTCCAAATTATATTTTCAATATCAAATCAATTATATAACGAGTATTTATGAGACTCTAGGATAAAAACTGGCTGAGAAAAGACATTTTGCCTAAAATTCCTCGTCACAATAAACAAAAAAAGTATGTATTGATAAACTATCACATTACGGTATCCTTCAACTAACTTTTGATTTTGAATGTCAAAAAAAAAACACTCACCAGTTTTTCTTCAATTTAAGAATCTTTACAGAAATATGCAAATCGTTTGATGATGTAAATATGATAATGACACTATTTATTATTTATTTTAGGAGAATTTATATGTATATATTTCTTTTTGAACAATTTTAGCCCCAAAACTTGTTTTGGGTTATTCTTGATAAATCAAATGGATCGTGACAAAGACTATGTTCTTGAGCTGCTAGTATCGCGATATATCGATATCATGTCTGTCATGGCTTTGTGAAACGGTTTATTCGCTTCATGACATCTCCGTAGGTCGCCGACAAAGATATGACTGTCATGGAGTTGGTTTCGAGAAAAGGCCCCCTGGTCCTTGAAGGAGAGTTTTGCATCCAGTAATACTCCAAGATCCCTTTCTACATCCACTTGTTTGAAGAAGTCCCTTACATTGTTGTTTTCCATGTAGTAGCCGTGGCTTGATGGGAACTTGCCAATCTTAAACACAATGCATTTGTCAGGGTGGAATTTGAGCTGCCATTTCTTTGCCCATTCCTGCAATTTATCTAGGTCATTTTGCAGATTTTGAGCTTCAACCATGGAGTCGCATCTAGCATAGAGTTTAGTGTCATCTGCAAAAAGCTAATTTAAAATTATAAAGAATCTGTGCAGAAATTTTTATTTGTAAATGTGCACTTTTTGCACTCTCTCAATACAAAAAACTTTACGCATTGAGCGCTGTACAGTGAGTTTACGCGCTGTCATTGGCCGATCCGCTTGAGTGGCTTCGGATTTAAGTGAGAGAGGGCCTACTTAACTTCAGCGCAACTTAAGTTAATCAATCAATGGCAAAGTCAATAACGTAATAGTACGTCACACCACAGAGATTTTGACACGTCCTGCTTTAAACAGGTGACGCATTTTACACATAACTAACACACACACAGCATTGCAAACACATAAAATAGAAAAATCAACAAACATCTCAGAATAAATTTTCAGTTTGAACCTTAAATACATATGACGAAAATGAGAACTGTTCAAACTTTAAAAATAGTTTAGTAAAACTTAAACTTAAGTGAAATACTTAAGTGACAAAATCATAACAAAAAGAGGGTTTGACTGAAATATTATAATTTGGGTATAAAAAAAATAGAAAATTGCAAGCTTGCTCCTCGCACAAATATCTTATAGCATTGAGTGAATGGAGAACAGCAATAGCCAATCTGACGGGCCCATGTCGGCTAGGCTAGGCGCCAACTTACGAAAATGAGGCTGAGATCGGATGAACGATTTGCGCATGCGCTAATTGTAAGCTAAAGTTTTATGTGCTCAATGCTCTTGTATGTGTGTGTTAGAATTCTACAACATTATAACATGCCCTTATCTGCTCCCTTTTTCTAGGTGCAAAATCCTTGGAAACATCTTGAGGATACATACATGAAGCCTTGTTACAGTCTCTAGTCTTGGAAAGAGAAATTCTAGTACAAGCTACAATTTAGTACAAAGCTGTTGAGTGTTGTGTTGACGTCCATAGAGGGTCCATTGGAATTCCTGTTTCTTCATGTCTAGTATTCAGAGGATCAGTCTGCATGAGCGCTAAACGTCGCCAGCGAACACCAAACGGCAAGAAGACACCTGTCACCACAGACCTCAATGCCACTTACACTCCCCCACCTACTGCTGCTAAATCACCACAAGGTATTATGTGGGGTTGTGTGTCCAGAGTCCAGGGCAGCGTCTCACGAAACCGTCATATTTACAAGTTCACTGACATCCCACTGAAATACGTGTATTAAGTTTAACACAAGTTTCAATTGGATGTCGTAGAACTTGTACTTATGACGGTTTCATGAAACGCTGCCCAGACGCTTAACAAAACTAAATCTGTCACTTCTGCTGTTCTATTTTTAAAAAAGTGTTCATCAAATAGCACAAAGAATCATAAATATCTTTTCCTTTATACTATTGTCAAATGTATGTCTTAAAAGATTGATGAAATATTGGATGTTTGTTTGAAATTGACTGTATGGATATTAAACCAACCTGTCTGGACACACACCGTGTATGTATACATCTACCATATAAACTTCTACCTCTTCATTGTCTATTATTGTCCCACCCCCCCCCCCCCCCCATCATAATCAACATTGATTTTCAATGCTGATTTTAAAAAAAAATCTAAACTCAGTCCTTTAAATTTTGCAAGTTTGTTTGCAAGCTTTGAAGTAGTAAGTCTGTTTCACAAAGCTTAGAAAATAATACATGAATTCAAACAAATTTTTAGTCCTGTAAACTTCTGTTTATTGAAAGGGGATTTCATAAATTATTTCACAAATATGTTTTGGACAAGAAGGAAAACAAACATATTTCAAAATATATTATATGTATTGTACGTCATTGATACAGTAATAATATAATACTTTTCTATAGTGCTATTCAACCCAAAATCTTTGCTCCACATGCTTTTACTCTACAGTGTTTATGACCCTCCATCTATCATTTTCATTCTGTTTAGGACCCGAATCAGCCAAAAAGGCTAAACTGACAGCTATTTATGCTGCCTTGAACTCTGACCCGGTCGATGTTGCAGCGCTCCGCAAATTGGCCATCTCCCGAGGTGGCCTACTTACAGATGAGATCAGAAGGAAAGCCTGGCCCAAACTTCTCAATGTCAATGTCTTTGATCCACCACCAAAGCTCAGTAAGTCAGTTTGTTTTTTCCTTCTTTTTATTATATTTCCATCTCTCTAGTTGTCTTCTTGGGGCACCACACAATGACCCCTATCTTTTTTTCTAACAGCAGCAGCAGATCAATCTGCATTTATTGGAAGAAAAAACATTCTTAAACAAATTAATCATAACAGCTTAATTGCTCAGGCAACCAGAGGTATTACGTAAGTGAACATTTGGCTCAGCTGCTTTAATCTATTGGTGTGATCCTTCAAAACTTTTTTAGAATTAGAGGGTTGTAATGGGAAAGGGGGGGGGGGGGAGCGTTATTATCGGATGACTACCCCATATTTCTTCTGTACAAATAGGTCGAGAGTCAACAGACGGATCTCAAAGCTATTTACCTTTTCTCCTGCCCTTTTTATTTCTAGTTTGGATGTCCCCCTTTCTCCCAACCCAATGTTAATACACTTGTTATAAATTGATCATGTGACACCTTTTATACTTTCATCATTCACTGTATCTTATATGAGGTGATACTATTTGATCATCTCTTTTTTTACTTTATCTTGATATTGAATCACTGATATATCATATAATCCATTACACAATTTCATAAACCAATTTATTAATACCATCAAAAACAACTAAATATGCTTGAACATTTTAACTAGGCGTTGTGGCGTGCGCCTGTAATCCAGCTAACAACGGAAGTTACAAACTGATTCAGCCGAGGACTCAGGATCAAAACTGAGTCACGTCTTTCGGATGGTGACGTTTAAAGGTCGGTCCCCAGACGTAAATAATCATATCTGATTGATACACGTCTGTAACAACCCAATACACACACACAACACTTTTGATGATTTTATATTTTCTATTTTCCAGAAATGCCAATTGAAGAGCACAGGGACTACAATCAGGTAGTATTAGACGTCAACCGCTCCCTCAAGAGGTTTCCTCCAGGTAAGTTGCAATATCTAATTTGGTTTATAAAGTTTGAACAGAGTTTATGTGGATTGTGGACCACAAACTATAATCTGCAATGTTCCTCTCCTAACTTCAATAAGATCCTATAAATGATTAAGTGATAAAACTTAATATTAAACTGTATTATTTTTTTTGTTATTCAGTGTGAGAAATAGTATATACTGTCCTAGATGACCTGGACATACCTGACTCATTCTTACACCATTGACTTAAAGACTACCAGTATTGGTTTGCTGAAAGATGTATGTATTATGTATAAGTTTTGTAGAATGGGATTTTATAAGCTGAACGTACATAGCAATGTATGTGCCCCTACGAACATGTATTTGTCATTCTGTACTCTGCATAGTTTCATTTGGAAATTTATGTGGAAAAGATCGATAGTTGAAAATTTGATGTCAAGTATCAATTTACAAGTTTCCACCTATTTCTGTGTTTGACAGTGGTATTGTCTTAAAATAATTACATTGTGATCCTGTTTTATGTTGTTTATTTAGGGATGCAGGATGAACAACGCGAGGTACTACAGGACCAGTTAGTAGATGTTATAGTTAGAGTACTCATCAACAATGATCAATTACACTATTATCAGGTAAGTTTTGATTTGTGGCATTATTTATTTCATGGTTACATTCTATTTTGCTTTTTGTGTTCAATATTTTCTTTTGACTCCTCTTTATTTTATTCTTTCTCCATTCTGCTTAGTACCCCCCCCCTTTTCTTTATCTCTCTCTCTCTCTCTCATTATCTCTCTCTCTCTCTCTCTCTCCTTCTCTCTCTCTCTCTCTCTCTGTCTCTCCTCCTTCATCTCTTTAAAAATGTATGATTAAAGAGATCTATAATTTGTTACAACAATAGAAGTAAACATTTCATATGCAAATGAATCATCTTGTAGATTTTCACATTTCAATATATACTTTCTTGGATTCATAATATAATTACAGAATCTTAATCATGCAGTTGTAACAGTCAGTTTTCCTCCAATTTCATATTTGCTTGTCAGGAGGATCAAATTCTTATCATGATTTCATTCCTTTATCCTTCTCTCTCTCTCTCTCTCTCTCTCTCTCTCTCTCTATGTCTCTCTCTCTCTCTCTCTCTCTCTCTCTCTCTCTCTCTCTCTCCCTCTCTCTTTGTAGGGGTATCATGACATAGTGGTGACCTTCCTCCTGGTGGTAGGCAAAGAGAAGTCTTTCTCTCTCGTAGACAAATTATCAACTCATCACCTTAGGTAAGAGTACTTGTGGCATGCTGATCAGCATTTAGGTCAAAAATCGAAGACGCTAGGCCAAAGGCTGCCGACCGATTTTAAACTCGCCGCCCAGTGACCGACTGATCTCCCAGCGGCGACCGGGCGACGACTGCTTGGCAGCCTTTGATGTAGCGACTTCGATTTTTGACCTAAATCGCTCGCTGGCGAACGCTCGATTAGGTTGGTGCCCGGCCGCAGAGCAGACTACTTTTAGGTGTCGTAACCATAGCTTAAGTATGGACTTTTGTCATGATAATTCAATCATCATATTCACAACCATCAGTACTTTAATAATTTGATATTTTTTCCATTTCCTTCCATTATACTTCATTTTCTACCGGGAAAGAGTGACCATTACTCTTTCTCTTCTTAAATTATAATTACAGTGTGTATGATGTGATTGGTTATTGAAATGCTTACTGGACTGATTGCAAATATATGCCAGTGTACTTCTGAACAGGCATTAGATCTCTTTATTGATAGGGGCAGGGCTTGACATGAAAAGTGACCTGAGGACAATGTGACTATATAAACTCAGGAAGACATTCAATTAACGATTGTTCAACTTAGAGACGTAAAAATGAGCCACATGTTGACAATTTGCATTATGGCCCAATCAGTTTAGATAACTAGTCTATGCATATTTGTGTCACTGCTTTAAACCATATAAGATTTTCCACAAGTTTTCAAAATTTGCTCATATTCAACTTGTTCAATCAACAAATGTACTCAAAAACATACAATTTATAGCTTTATGATGACAGTTACTCTTTTTCTTTCTTTTTTTTCTTTTTTTGTATTTATGTTTTTATTGATAACCCAAAACAGAAACATAAAACTCAAAGATAACAAACAAATATAAATTATGACAGTCACTTTTGCTCTACAGTGTCATTACAAGAAATCATTGTGGAACCCTGTTTAATACAGAGAGAGGATCAAAACAAGCATACGGCAAGATTATCTTATTTTCAAGTTCAAGTTCAAAGTTTTATTTCCACATCTGATTTTTAAAAACACAAGTACAATTTATATGCCTATATACAATAATAAACATTAGAATGAAACATCCTCAATTGACATCATAATGTGGTGGGAAAAACAGAGGCTAATGTCCTATCAAGGTTATTCCCAAAGATAATACAATTTACATAAAAAGTTTCTTAAATATACTAAAAACGAGATAAAAATACAACGATTAAAATTTTGGTTTATCTATTTGATTTGACAGGGACTTCATGGATAGGACCATGGACCGTACCAAGCACATGCTCAACTACCTCTTGCCAATCATCAGAAAAGCAAATCCAAAATTGCATGATTTCATGGAAAGGTGAGTTGGAAAGACATCGTTTCTTATCTTATTCAAATTTTTCTTTGAAGTAGGAGAAATTGGTGTTGGTTTTCTATGAATAGAATAGCCTGGCATTTTCGCCATTTTGCAAGAAGGAATTGATGGGAGAAGAAAGAGGGGCGGACCAACTAGGACAGGGAAAGATAACATCAAGCAGAGGACAGGAATGTCATTTGAGCGGCTAATTAGCACAGCTAAAGACAGGAAGTTACAGAGAATCTGTGTCTCAAGGTCCATTTCATTGTCGCCCCAATGGCCTCCCAAGCTATGGGATTTCAAGATAGATAGATAGATTTTCTATAAGAAACTTTTACTCGTTAAGAAATGTTGTCATTAATTTTAGCAACTTGATTCTTTCAATCTTTGTTTACAATTTGTGAAACATCATCCCAGACCAATCCTTTCATCTCACTTCTCTCCAATATCTTTGAGCAGATCCGAAGTGGGTTACGTGTTTGCTCTTGCCTGGCTGATCACATGGTATGGTCATGTGCTCAATGACTTCCATAGTATCCTGAGGCTCTATGACTTCTTCCTAGCGTGCCATCCTCTCATGCCAGTCTATCTTGCTGCTGCTGTAAGTATTGCTGCTCTTACTATTAACATTATGTGTAGTCATTTACAGGTACAGTCAAACCTGCTTTAGTGACCACCTGTCTACAAAGACCACTTGTCTAAACACACCAAATTTTTGTTCCCCTTGAAAATGGTTTCTCATTGAAACGTACTAAAGGAACCTGTCTACAACGACCACTTTTTTTGTCTCCCTTGGTGATCTTTATAGACAGGTTTCACTGTATTGCTTATTAAGTAATTGCATAGTCCTCTGGGCCCGTATTCAATAAACTTCTAAGACATTTTTCTTAAGTCTAAGAAAATGTCTAAGAAAATGTCTAAGAATTTGTCTAGGTTAAGAAAGTTGCCTTAGCCGTATTCTAAACACGTAAAGCAGTTTGTCTTAGTTAAGACGAAAGATAAGACAAATTCTTAGACCCGATGACGTCATGTGGGAAAGTTGATGTGGTCGACTCGAGCGAATTAATTGCAACTCGATTTGCCTATGTAATTTGCGTGTTAAAATAAAAATCGCACCGCACGAAAATTATACACTAACATGTATGGGAGAGCGTAAGGGAGGAACGATGCTCACATAATTATTTCGGGATTGACCAACTGACACTAAAACAGTCTAGTCAAGACCACCTGAGGCTAGATCTAACATCCACTGTAGGCTTTTTATACTTTTCTGTCAGTCCGAGGAGCCCAACCGGGCTTACTTATTATGTCGCAGCCGCAGGGTCTGTGAGTATGAAGGGAGCGCCGTCGCTAGCCGGCCGACCAGCGCTAGCATTGGATTTGGAGCTACCCTTTCATTGTTTTACATCGTCTACTGTTATGATGGCCTAAAATTAATCAAATGGCTAGATGTAACTTTTATCAGACTCATACTATAACAAATTTTGTCTCACCTAATATTATGCCGATTGCACATTATTCCCTGTTTCCATACTTTAGCGCCAAAGACTAATAAAGTAAGAGACAGTTTCTTTATATACGACAGCCATGTCATGATTTAGTGTTATGGATGTATGCTACTACTCGTTTAGTTGTGTACAAACAAACATACAAGTACAAGTACACAGAGCCTATGGCGCTCCTGCGCGCTGCGCCGTCGCTGTATACGCGAAGCTTACGTTGTTATATAGGTCAACTGATAACCTGCGCTCGCGCTGCATGCATTGTTTTTATTCCATTTGATCGAAACCCGAAGCGGTTGCTTGCAGCATCACTGAGCTGCCGGTGCCAAAGCCCCATTTAAGCATCCTCGTAGTTACTTGTAGAGATAATCCCGATGGCAGCTATCATACAGCTAAACTGGGATGTCCGTGCAACGTGCTGGCATAGTGACAGTGCATGAAGTAATTCAAAACAGTGAATGATGTCTATTATTTACAATAAAACGGTGGACGTGCAAGTAAAAACCGAGACGTGGAGTCTACAGTAGCTTGGACCCAACAGGAGGAGGCAACGCTCTGATGATAGGTAGAGCAGCCTCCTGGAAGATGGTCACTGTTGGAGATGTTACTGCAGCAGCTGATAGGTGGTTCCACGTCCAGATGGTGCGAGGATAGAAGGAGTACTTAAAGCTATCAATGGAAGCTGGGGGTACTGCATACTTCAGAGGGTGATCATTTCTGCCCAGATATGTAGCTGGGATAATGTGAGTGGGAAAAGGCATGTTGAGTTGATGATGGTGCATCTTGTAAAACAAAGTGGACTGTGCAAGAAGCCTGCGGTTGTGAAGGGTATCCCATCCCAGTTTGTTGACAAGTGCTGTGACTGATGTTATTCTCCGGTAGTCTTGGTATACAAAACGGGCGGCAGCTCGCTGTACTTTCTCAAGACTTTGTATTGATGTCAGAGTCCGAGGGTTCCAAGCTTCACTGCCATACTCAAGTTGAGGACGAACAAGCATTGTGTAGGCTTTGGATTTGATGTTCTTGGTGCACGGTGATAGAGTTCTGCGTAGGAGGCCAAGGGTTCTATTGCCTTTCTGGGTGGCGAGTTTACATTGGGTGTTCCATTTAAGGTCATGGGTAATCGTGACACCAAGATACTTGTATTGTTTTACTCGAGGAATTGACTCATTTAGTAGGGTGTAGTCCACTGTGACGGGGTGCTTCTTGTTTGTGATTGACAATGTAGCACACTTCTTGATGTTGAATCCCATCAGCCATTTAGTGGACCAGTCTGCAAGAACATGGAGATCTTCTTGCAGTATATGAGTGTCAGAGGGAGAGTCGATACGCCGATAGATGACACTGTCATCTGCAAATAGACGCATTGTGGACTTGATGTTGTGTTTGATGTCGTTGATGTACAGCAGGAAAAGTACGGGGCCGATGACAGAACCCTGCGGTACTCCTGAAGTAACAGGCATCCATGCTGAGCGAGCACCATTGACGACGACAGCTTGATGTCTATTCGCTAGGAGTGACATAGTCCAGCGGAGAAAGTCTCCCCTGATTCCGTAGTAATGTAGTTTGGATCTAAGGTGTGGATGTGGTACGCGATCAAACGCTTTTTGGAAGTCGAGAAAGATGGTATCAGTTTGGCCTCTAGATTGAAGAGAGGATGACCAATCATCGGTAGCTGTGACAAGTTGTGTTGTTGTCGAAAGATTCTGTCTGAAACCATGCTGTTCATCAATGAGTATGTTGTTAGCTGCAAGATGTTTAGAAATGTGGCTAAGCATAATATGTTCCATCACCTTACTGCAGATACACGTCAGCGATATAGGTCTGTAGTTACCTGGGCAACATTTATCTCCTGCCTTATAAATAGGGGCTACAAGTGCACGTTTCCAGTCTAAAGGCACTTCTCCGGTATTGTAACTCTGTTGAAACAGAAATGACAACGCAGGGGCTATTTCGTGTGCTAGCATCTTCAGAATTCTTGGATGTATCTCATCTGGGCCACTGGCTTTGGATGGATTCAGTTGAAGCAGTTGCTTAACTACACCAGACCGGTGGATGTGGAGATGCCCTATGTCATTGTATAGGGAGGGCCGGTTTATGCAAACTTGATCCACGTTGCTCTTGGTGAAGGTAGAATGAAAGTAATTATTCAAACATTCAGCCTTGTCCTTGTTTGTGATATGGAGCTTGTTATCATTTCTCAAGGGTGGTATACCAAAGTTTTCAGATCTACGCTGTTTTACATATGACCAGAAAGCCTTGGGGTTCGCATATAGGCTCTCACCTATTATGTTGCAGACGTAATTGTGATGAGCTTGGCGGACACGTTTGGTCAGTTCGTTTCGAAGCTGCCTGTAGGCCTTCCAATTGGATGCACTAGGCTGACTTCGTGCCTTCTTGAACAAACGATCCCGCTTCCTCATTTGCCTTTTGAGGGAAATGGTGATCCATGGCAAGTTGCATCTGGCTCTTGACATCTTGGATGGGATGAATTAATCCTTGCACTTGTTGATGAGTGATGTGATACAGGTCCAGTTTTCATCAACTGACTTCAGCTCTGGTGAAGATGATAGAAAATCCATTGAGAATTTCGCAACAGCCTTGCGGAGTTTCTGAAGATCAGCTTTGTGGAATTGGTAGATTTTTCTTGGCAGAATGCGGCAAGTTCTTGGATTCCCCGAGATCGAAAAAGCAACGATGTTATGGTCCGATATTCCTGGATGGACACAGACATCGGACACCAGTGTTGGATTTGACGCAAGAAGAAGATCAAGTGTCTTCTCAGATACAGGGCGGGTAACTTCATTAACAAACTGGAGAAGAGAGTTCTCTAGCAGGATATCAAGGAGGAGTTGGTGGATGCTAGTGCGATTGCTGTTTTTAACAATGCATTCCTTCCAATCGATATCTGGTAGGTTAAAGTCCCCGCCGACAATAATATTTGGATGATTGCGTCGGTGTCTAGACATCAATGTGGCAATTGAGTTGCGTAGTTCTTCGAGTCCTTGTTCTCGGCCAGAAGGAGGGCGGTAATAGCTTGCAATGAAGAGAGGCTTGGCATTTGTGAATTGAAGGTGACACCATACTAGCTCGCAGTCTGTGTCAAACTCTGGACAATTTGACACGATGAGGGAGTTGTGAACAGCTACAAAAACTCCTCCGCCATGTTCATTTCTGTCCTTTCGAAAAACATTGTAAGAGCTAGGAAAGACGCTATATGTCGGGCAGGTGCCGTCTAGCTTCGATTCACAACCAAGTATGATATCAGGTCTGTGGTGATCGATCAGAGCCTGAAATTGGGACTGTTTCGTAAAACTCTTGAGGCCATTGCAGTTAATTATGACTGCTTTCAATGCCTTCCTTCTATTTTTCCTTGGTGAAGAGAACTGTAGGGGTGGTGCCTTGTCAGTGGGAGTGGAGGCTTGAGGACCACTTGCAACATCAACATCAACCTCGCTTGCATCGTCATGGAGAGCTGAGTAGCGGTTAGGACTAGTGAAATCAGCATCCAGAAGGGAAGATGATAATTCTGCATTGATGCTGTTACACTTACAGCATATCCACGAAAAACTGCTAAGACGGGTGAGAACACTGTACGAAGAAGCCGAGATGCCTACACATGAGATGTGACACCAGGCATCACAATTGTCACACAATATTGCTTTATCATTGACAGAGACATCCGACTTGCAAATAGCGCATGTAGGAGTGTCTGGACCTGGGTTGGGCTCAACTTGCCCACTGAGAAGTAGTAAGATGGCCAGGTGGCTGGTGGAACGAATGTTGAGGACACATGAAGAGTTACTGCGCTTCTGCTGGAATCTGAGAAAAAGGCAGAGGCTGCGTACACCTGCATGACTAAAATCACGAGAGCTGAAGTTAGGCAATATCAAAAGATGTTCCTGCTGATCTAGAAATCGTGTAGCACTTTCTTCAATGACGTATGTCTTCACAAGCACGTGCATAGAAGACATAAGGACAAGTAAGCTGATGAAGAGGTGATGTTCCTGCATGATGTAGGAAGGAAGCTAGGTTTCAGAGACAAATTGAATTGAGTTGAATTTGTGAGTGTAGCTTTTACAAAGTCCAGCAAAAATAACTGGAAAATAACTGGAAATAAAATAACTGGATTGGTCTTACTTTATCTTGGATGGTTAAGAAATCTAGATGCTTGTAATAAAATATCCACAGATCATGATGAGTGATAAGGAAAAGTTGACTAGAAGACTGACTTGATGTGTGTGTGTAGTTGTTCCTAAGTCCAGCAAGAATCTCAATGCATGGGACCACACTGTAGAACTTGTGCTGGGCCCCCCAGACCAAGCTTGAAAACTGATGAAAATATCACTTGAAGTAGGGTGTTACATGAAGATCAAAATGGTCTGGAAGGATCTAGAAGGCTGTTTGAAGATGATGATAGGGCGCGCATGACAAGTAACTTAAAGATTATAGTAAAAAGTGAGATTTAATTTGGTAATGACAGGAGTACATGCACCACACTATGCCAACACTATGCACTTGATATATGTAGTAGTATGCTTAAATATAGGGTAGATTTCTTACTTATCTTAGATATCTCGATTGTATTAGAATACGACATGCTACTTAAGTCCTTTTTCTTAGATAAAATCTAAGAATCCTTCTTAATCTTAAGGCAAATTTCTTAAGTCCCCATTGCTGTTATAGAATACGATTTTTGGCTAAGATTTTTTCTTAGCCAAAATTTAAGAAAAAGTACTTAGATTTCATGCTTAAAAAGTTTATTGAATACGGGCCCAGGTTCTCAAGCTGTAAGGAGTGTTGAAGTTAAAGATCAGGGCCTATCTTTTGAAGATTTCGATTTAAGCAGAATCGATTACGAGTTATCCAATTGGTGGAGAAATAAAAAAGGTGATTTACTCAGAAGTACCCAAAGTGGATTTAGCTCCTTTTGGAATGAACCTCTTCATTTACCCTTTATCACCCCGCCGCTCAGATTGTGCTAGAGCGTGAAGCTGATGTCCTAGCCGTGGAGTGTGACATGGCGTTCGTCCACAGTCTCCTGTCTCGGATACCTGATAACCTACCCATGGAGGAGCTAGTCATCAAGGCGGGAGATCTCTTTGTGCAATACCCACCCCACGAGATGGCCAAAGAAGCACAGCTACAGTACAATAAGAGGTAGGAAAGAGAGGCAGTTATGTCCATAGAAATTCAATTAAAAAAAAACTGCAGAATACTCCACCACACACACATATATATCAGTCCTGATTATTACCCAATTTAAATCGGTTTCCCGATTTTTTTATTGATTCCCCGATTTGTTTTGATTTTTTTTTCTCCCGATTTTTCCAAATTTTTCCAAATTTTCTTACTCTAAATTGGTGTCATTTTGTTAGATGCCATTTTTTTTTCTTCCTCAAACGCTTTTTTTATTTTATTTTTTTAAATTTTAGTCAAAGGGGGAGAAAGATTTTGTTTTTCTTTTTTAGTGCTCACTATCTCCCCTGATTTATATATATCTGTAAAGCTCTTAGAGACGGCATTTTGTATGAAGCGCTATATAAATCAAGACATATTTGTATTTTTATTGTCTTTAATTATATCCGTGACCCTTATCCTGACGCAAGCTAGGGCCTTACCCTAACTCTACCATAATCTTAACACTAACCAAACCCTAACTATTAGCCATACCCTAACCCTTATATGCATGGTAAGTTATTTAATTAAACTGCTAGACAGAATGTGCATGTGCTCCCACATTGTACAAATAGGAAAGGAAAGGTGAACCTACTGATGGAGTAGTTAGTTGTCAAGGCTGGAGACCGCTTTATGCAATACTTCCTATGAGATGGCCAAAGGAACACTGCATAATCATATTCAACTTTCCTGCAACAGTTCAGCAACTTCAAAGTACTTTACAATAATAATTTGTTCTGTATATTTACATTCATGTTCAAGGACATCAAGTATCTGTGAATAAAATGTTCTAACCAACAGTCTTTTTCAAGACTACACCAACAGTCCTTTTCAGGACTACACACCCTCAAGAAAGATTCAGGACTCCTCAATCCTCCCTCTCTCTCACATGGTGCACCCGCAAGCCTACTGTATAAAATGTTCTAGCTTCGAATTTCTACACATTATTTTACTGATAGTTATTTTGGAGAAAAAAACTAAAATATTCATTGACTTGTTTTCCAGCTCCGCTATCACCAAACACAAAGAGCTAGAAGGAAACCTACGAGGTCAGCGTCCGGACACCGTCCTTCGCCGTCTCCAAGGCCAGGCCGGCGGTCAAGCCCAGGCAGGCTCAAAACAGAGCAACAGAGTGGTCAAGGTAGCCGTGTGGGCCATCTCGGCCGGTATCGGGGCAGCTGCCCTGGCCGTCCTCAACAGTGCAATGGAGTTCTGGGTATGATGGAGAGAGAAAGAGTGGAGGTGAACAGAAATTCCCTTTTTGATAGATCAGGGGGGTGTTTCACAAAGATCCTAAGTTGAAGTTATCTCTAAGTTGGACTTAACAACTATGGAAAGCCATTAGCATCTTTGAAAATATTTTGTAAAAGTTATTTTAAAAGGCATAAAATGTTGACTCAAATCATTCATATTTTCCATTATCATGGGAGATTTCATGTTCTTGATGTGGAATTTATAAAGAGTCTAAAATACTTCAATTTTTGCTTTTGAATATATTTCAAAATAAGGCTACAAAAGGCTCTCCATAATATTTAAGTCCAACTTAGAGTTAAGTTCGACTTCAAATCTTTGTGAAACACCCCCCTAGGGTTTGTATAATCTGTATCATGTTATCTAATTGTGATGTATTTTGGTAGTGGTATATTGTCTTGTAGGAGACCAATCACCTACAAATTAATGTGTGTATACCTGTTAAGATGTATGATTAACCTGTTGAGTACTGAATTTTCTCATTCCCACAGACTTAACACAGGGACCACCAGGTTCCAGTAACCAATGGGTTAATTTTTAAATTGTATAATACACACATTGACGTTCTTGCTGTACACAATTTACTTTTACGTAACCAATTGGTCCCTTGTAAATGTCTGACTGTTTATATGCCTTCATCATGCACGATATGTTAAAGACAGAAGTACCCCTGTTTCTGTAGGAGGAAAATTGTTGGGTTCATGCACCTGCTCCTACAGACACTTCTTTGGGATGTTCAATAAACAGATCGACAGACTCTTTGGGATGTTCTATAAACGGATCTACAGACTCTTTGGGGGATTTATTGCTGAGATCTGCCTACTCAAAATTGTGGGGTAGGCTGTATGCCATTATGATTAATCTCTTAATGATCATAATATTGTTGGCAACTCACAGATCACTTGTTGTTAAAAATGGTTTCTTATGCATTTAGAAAATCTACTATGAATTACCACCAGAGCATCGTTTCACGAAATTGTCAGTAGTACAAGTTCACCGACATCCGAATGAAACACGTGTATTAAATTTTTGTATTTTGGCAACTTGAGCAATTGTGTTGGTAGCCACCTTGCATCCCAAATCCGTAGCGACATCAGAATTTTGCAGATGTACTGTATACATGTGACTATTTGATTTTTGAAGCAAATTGTCGGAAGAACATTGCTGTAACCTACTGAAATGTAACAAAAGCAGCTTGACTGTGACACAAAGAGAGTACTTAATCACTGCCAAAAGACACAAGTAGACTTGCATCATCATGTATTGAATGTATTGAGAAAATGTATGTAAGCCTGAATCAAACGACCGGGGTAATAATATGATTGCAGGGCCCTCAGGGTGAACAGTATGAATACTGATGAGGCTACCCTGGGTAAACAAGACATATTATTATTATTATTATTATACAGAATACAATATCTTTACTTCCTTTCATCAACTCCCTGTATATGAAGTTAGAATTGTATTTTAACACAATAAAACATGTAGATGTAGATTGTAAACATTGTATGCATATTATCGCAACTGTGTATCTCATGCACATCCATAAAAAAGGACTGTGCCTGGGTATGCTTCTTTTGGCATTTCAGAACAAAATGGCATTATGCTTGTAGTATAAATTATTTGTGGTTTATGATGAAAGACAGCTTAAAAGAGATGTAGGTGTGAGAGTTTCTCTGGTGACACAGAAGTTTGTTTCTTTAGAGAGGGTCGCTGATACTTCCAGTTATCATTCCTAGTACTTCAGTCATAAATGATCAACACAAGGCATAAGAATTACCTTTTTTGACACAACAATAAATATTATATGCTTCTACTTTTTAGGATTTGTAGATAGGAAGATGTTTGATGTATTATTTGATTTATTTGCATTAGCTTAGATACGGTTTATTTGTTAGGTTAAATTAGTTGGAAAGGAATGATTTAAATCATACATTTTAGAAATAGTTCTGGAATAAAGCACCTATACCACTATTTTAGATATACATCACAAATATGATTTCACAATTGATTTTTTTTACAATATATTTTTTTTCTTTCAATGTTCATCTTGATAAAATGTTTCTTAATATTGTCTGGCATGAGCCATAAGGGCATAACTCCTAACTTTAAAATCTGAGTGAGTGCCATTTTGACTTTCTGCAGATGATATGTAACTTCACAATTCATAAAGTCATTTCTGATTTTTTTTTATAAAAGACAAGCTTGTATAGTCCAAAAGTAAAATATAGAAATTTGGAAGGTCAAAACTGTTTACAGCGCCAAAAATGATGTCAGAGTCGATAAAGTTCTTTGATGGCTGTTCTTCTGTGTTTACACTGCTTCAGTTAAAAACAAATTAAGAGATTGTATTGAATCTGTTTGATAATGTGACAAAAGTAGACATTCCATATTAGTGTTGATGATCAATTTATGAATATGTAGTTGTATATTTCTTTGTTAAGATGAAGTTAGAATGATGATATCAGAATGATGTTATAATAAGTGTGCTGTAGGTAATGATAGTTCAGGGGGGTGTTTCACAGAGACTAAGATCGACTTTAAGTTGGACTTAACTATGGCAGGCAGTTCATGCCACTGTTTGCTCTCACCATTTACTGGCATTGGTCTCTGAAGGGACGTATAAATCGTTGTCACAAATTTGCAGAATTTACATTTTTTGATAGTTCATTATTGAAGGAAAAATATTATCTAAAGATCATAATTAAGAGACCAATAGTGAGAACAACCAATGGCATGAATGGCCTGTCATAGTTAAGTCCAACTTAAAGTCAATCTTAGTCTTTGTGAAACACCCCATGGTCTATAGCTTCTATGTCCTGTTGAACTGTGAACTTCTACTATATGACATATGAATGTCAGCGATTGTAAAGATTACTTTACTACTCATAGGAAATTTATATCAAGTGATAACTCTTTTTTTATTTTGTTTTGGAGAGCTTTTAATGATTTTTATAGAGCTTACCTGGGCTTATATGCTCTTAAGTTCCTGTGTATTTGTTTGATTAGTACAATCATTGATTTTTTCTAAAAACATAATTATTTTAATTTCTGTTTTTATTCATTTTAAATAATTTTCTCTCTTGATATCTTCACTGATTGATGTAAAAGAGGAATTTCAATGATGTGATTTTTAAAAAATATTTCTTCTCTCTTTTATAATTTAGATTATGTTATTATCATCTGTTCCACTTGATGGAAAGATATACATGTAGTATAATTGGGATAAAATCGAGAGATTTAGTTAGAATAAGTCATATATTTGTTATGTCCTTATCTTTCCTTGCTTTCTTTCACTTACCCATCCTCCCTCCTCTCCCCTCACTCTCTCTTTCAAATTCCCACACTTATTTTTTTTTTTCACTTGATGTTCTTTTTCTGATTTGAAGAAACATATTCAGAGAGAAATAAAAGTGAAACATTTAAAATGTAACCTCTGTAAGTCCTATACTGCCCTCTAAAGACAAACCTTGGTCAATGAATCTTTGGACTCGGATGTCTATTTTCAAGCCTGCCTTCTGGACAATCTATCTTTTAACTATTTCATGTATATCTCGTCTTTTAAAGATACTTTGGTTACATTTTTTTGAAGATATGATGTTGTTCTTTCTGATCCATCTTAATTAATTTTTTTTCTTTTATTCAAAATCTGGTTATTCTTTTCTGGCGAGTACGGTGATTGTGCTAACGTGAATTTTCACCAGATAAATGTAAAGATTGCATATTATTTGGCATAAGTTGGCAACTTGGCAGTGTAATATTCTTAATAGTGGATAACAGTAATTGTACAGAGCCGGAAGGGCTTTATCTTATCAAGTTTAACACTGAATAGAGGTTATGTTTTGTGTACACCTGTACTGTAATTGCTTATTGTATTCGTTATGATTGTTACATGTTGTGTGTTTTACAAATTAATGAGAAGATATGAAGATATGGATGTAAATATTCATATATGTGCAATCATAAATAAAAGATACAAATATAATCTTGCTTTTTCTTATTCATTTTCATTTCATTGGCAAATGAGATATTATGTAAGTTCTTACTTCATTTATCTATTTTTCAAATATCATTTTCTGGGGCTTAAAGTCCAAATCAAAATCTGAATACATGTACCATGTATTTGAATGTCTGAGGTACAGGGATAACCATCAATGCAAATAACTATTTAAAAAATAGAATCAAAGAAGAAGTGTTTAAAAAGCCAAGATCCCAAGTGTTATTTCCATTTAGTAAGGCATCGAAATTCAATTACAGAGGACTCGGGGTCCCTCAGGTAGGACTCGAAGCCGTAAAGGACCCTTGGCTGCAATAAATACAAACATACACTTGCTTTCTTTTCATCCATGTTCAATATCAAGGGGCACTCGGAGTGCATGGAGAGAATATAGGGAGAAGAGGAAGAAAACGTTTTTGGAGATGGATGAAAAAAGAAAAGAAAAAGAGGCATGCATGCGGAAGAAAAAAAAGAGATAGAGAGAGACAGATAAAGAAATAGGATAAAGAGAGAGAGAGAGAGAGAGCGAGAGTGGGGAGGAAAGAGAGAGAGAGAGCGAGAGTGGGGAGGAAAGAGAGAGAGAGCGAGAGTGGGGAGGAAAGAGATAGAGATGAGGAGGGGGAGATAGTGTGAGGCGGAGGGGAGAAAAGGGGATAGAATGAGGAAGGGAGGGAGGGGAAGAGGAGGGGGTGGGGCAGACGGTCAAAACAGATATAAGAAAGTCGAAAATAACTTGACGGAGTACACAAAGAGGAAAATGACTGCTATTGAACAAAATAATATACATTTACAAAGAGTACAAACCTGAGTAGTGGACGTTTCCTCAATCGATTTGAATGAAATATTATTACTTGAGAAATATCTTTCGAAAATATCCAATGAAATATGTTTTTCTTCAAAGCTGCCACAGCATACGTTTCAATTAACCCGTTTACGGACCCGTTTTAGGGCCTCAAACTCTAATATCCACAACGCTAAATTTGGCGCAATTAATGGTGGACTCGCCTTCAGCACAAAGTTGCATCACTTAGCATTTCAGTAGCTTTATGAATTTCATAAAGCCTTCGAACGCCGTGAACAGGCTGCAGGCAAATTGCATGGACATATTAGGTAAAAGTAAAAATAAATCCTATCATTATAAATCAACCCCTTCAAAATTAAGAGCCTCCCTCGGTGCATTGCACAATGTAGCCCGGAGCCACATTTCAAAACAAAACAGATAATTTCATCCCTTGAAGTAATGTAATATAAATGTACTTCGAAACACGGTATCTTTCCATCGTTGCATTTCCAGTCCCCTGGTAGTGGAATCGTATTAGACGGGGGTTTTAGTAGAGCTACGAGAGAAATAATGAGAATGCATATTTTTGTATATAAACAAGGGATCAAATGACATCCTCCTCATTATGCCTGCGTCAAGACGAATGATTTATTCATATCCCGGTATCCCTAGTGGTATGATTATATCGCATTTTGATATGCAAGATTCAACGGCTTACTTATATACATAGGTTGATGAATATTGCTTATCTGGTATATCAATTTCTATATATATATAAGTGATGAATGATTAATTCTAATGATTGTATCGTGGTTATGGAATCGACTCAATCGAGTGTATAGTGTTTGTATGTCTATGCGAGACGCGGTGGTATAAATCAATTAAATGTTTATCTCGCTTCCATGATCATTAAGGATAGCGGCAGTTCTCTAAAACTTATATTTAAAAAGAAAAAAAGGAGAAGAAGGGCCAATAATCCTCTTGATAATTTCATTATTTTTTAGCTAGATAACACTATTTCCTTTATCATAATGGCCTGAGCTGTAAAGCCACAGGACCGTATTATATTGCCTGCCCCTTTTCCTGTGATCTCGTTGGCGAAAATATGTTGTTGTTGGGGGGGGGGGGGTGAATATAATAAAATGGTTTAAACCATCTTGGGATACAGGCTTACATCAAGGGTTTATGAGGTGGATATAATTATTATCCCGCATAAAACATGAAATTTTACCCGATGACCTGTGGGTGCGACACGCAAGATGAATTTTATTAGAGGAACTTGAGCCAATTATACTTTCTTTTTTTCGAGAGGAAATTAAAAACGAATTTACAGCAAAAGCAGATCACCTAAAATGGAAGATTATAGTTAAACTGATTGATTAATACATTAGCAAAATTGTAACATAGCCTTAATTTGTCTCTTTAAATGAATGTCGTTTAGATAATACTGGCTCACTTTCATTTTATTTATTTATTTATTTATTCCGTTTTATTCAAACAGAGTAGCCCCGTCAGTAATCAAAGTACTGTTTTCCAGCGAAAACATCAATACATAGCAATATAATAACAAAAAATAAGTAAATAATAAGAGAGAATAATGAACAAAGCCGTAGTAAGAATGATAATTTTCAATGAGCAATTTCAAATCGGTAAAAATTGCAAATTAGCGTAGACACTGATTATTATGAATTATCTGTTCAGATTATAAAACATTATCATATTTAGAAATTTATGTAAATATTCACGAAAGAAAGAAAGAAAGAAAGGCATATCAATCTTTAACATCACTGCTTAAAATAGAGAGAACAAGATGCATTCTTGGTCTGAGCATTTCGCGCAGAAGAGCACCATTAGCTAGAAGGCATGTTTTCAACTTTCTGTTTTAATTCTTGCAATTTTGTATCCCTTCAGTTGTTTATATATAGTTTATCCAACATACTTCTTGACATGTTGAGAAAGATACTTAGATAGGCCTATTGTAACAGGGAGAAAATGGATGTGCTGTCATTTTTTGCGAAGACTTAAAAATCCTAATCCATATTCACGAAGCAAAATAACTATTTAGGCTTACATCTTTAAAAAGTTCCAATCAATTATTAAGACGGCTTCTCCAAAAATGTGTTTTCTGCCTCAAGAGGTAAAAGCAAAGAAGGTTCATACACTTTAAACGCTAAACAAAAAACCGAAATCTCCCATAAGAGACAAACTTTAAAAGGAGGGGAAGGAGCTATAGAAGAGTATCCTGCACTATGGAAGAAAAGAAGAAAAAAAAAAGAGGGAAAATCACCCAATTATTGTTCAGGTTGGAAAAGGAAGGCCATGACTGACAACCTCCCACCGCCCCACCCCTCGTAAACTGGCTCATGGGGAAGGGGAGTTCCGCCCCATCCTCTCCTGAACATGCCAGACGAGGGCATAATAATTGAATAAAACTAACTTTGTTACACATCCTATCCCGCTTTAGCAAACAACAATAATAGGCCTACAGTAAAAGGGAAACAAACAACATCATTGTTGTCTCCTGAAAATTGAGAATCAAGACAAGGGCGGAACCCCCCCCCCCCTACCTCCACGAGACGACAGGGTGGCGTAATGAAGGGCTTACAGAAATTTCTTTCATAAAATGTCAACACTAGCATTATTGTATGATGTCAAAGATCATTATATTTAAAGGCTGTTCAATGATAGGATGAAAGTTGAAAGGTGATATCACATTTTATCACAATTCACAACTATTTATTTGTTTAAACTCAGCCTAATAGGGCCAATCGAGAACAGTTTGCATCTATTAGACACGAACAAACAAACAAAAGGAATGACTCTTTTCCTTTCGAATTAATCTCGAGTTTTACCAAGGAGCTTTATACAATGCCTTATTGTCCAACCAGGCCAACACACGACTGTTCGCGGAACTCTGAACTTCTCGAAATGGCTCGAAATCCACTTTGATTAAACTCAGGGGTACATTATTACCCCCGTAGGGGTAATGGTTTCATACCGGAAGCGCTGCTCGCTCACTGTTATTCATTCCCCATGCAATATGTACCGTTACATGCAAAATACACCCTACCATTCTCGCCAGCCGCTGCTCCGTGTGACGAACGCTCAACGGACGACGGCATCGCTCGCGTACGAAATCTATTGTTGTCTATGCGGGCACGCTCCCGTCGATCGCATGCAGACAACATCTCGATCGGTATAAATGAGTCAGTCAGCTGTCTGATGAGCAGTGAAGTTGTTTTCCGTACCATGACACGAGCTCGGAAAGGGAAAGGGATGGATTTCCTAGAACCAGATACTGGTTCCCGCATCCTCGAGAAGTTGAGGATGCAGAGAGCAGACGAGAAATACTGTGACATCGTTCTCAATGTGGAAGGAAAGGTGTTCAAAGCACACCGAAATGTTTTGGCTGCGTGTAGCCCGTACTTCGATACTATGTGCAATAGCGGGCTGGAGGAGGACAAAGTGGATACAGCCGTAGCGACGATTGAGTGTACGTCCGCTGAAGCGATGGACGAGATTTTGAACTACATGTATACAGGAAAAATCTCGATTAATGCCACCAACGTGGAGTCAATTTTGAGAGGGGCCGACCCTTTTCTGATGACTGCTTTGAAGGAATATTGCTACCAGTTCATGTGGCAAAATATGGATGCCTCAAATGTCTTGGCAGTGAGGCAGTTGTCAGATTTGTACGGCTTTGCGGATTTGTACGGAAGATCACAGCAGTTCATTCGAAATCAGTTCATGCAGGTTATTCAACATTCCATGGAAGATGTTCTCAGGCTTAGCTATGAAGATATCCTTGAACTCATTACCGATGAAAAAATCAGGGTAGAAAAGGAGGAGTGCATCTATGACATTGTCGTTCAGTGGGTCAAGTTTGACCTAGCTTTCCGCAAACCTCTCTTTCCACGTTTGTTGCCTCACGTGCGCATGCCCCATCTGGGGCGAGAGTTTCTCATGACTATTGTTGAGAAAGAGGAACTTGTTTCCGCTTTTGGTGAGTGCAGGAACATGTTGGCTGAAGCAAAGCATCAGACGGATACCACGAGACGGAGTTACTGCAGTGACAGTCCGGTACTGAAGCCACGCAAAGGACGTTTGACGGATGTTGTCGTCATGATCGGTGGTGTATCGGAGCAGGGTCCTCTGGCTGATTGCTTTGCCTACCTCATCAATGAAAACCGGTGGAGCTCACTCCCACCGCTCCCCAATGAGCTGCGATTCCATGCAACAACCATTATGAACAACTGTATGTATGTGGCCGGTGGAACAAGCAACCAGCTTACAACGAGTAAGGTGCATTGTTACGACCCCATAACCAACTGCTGGAATGAAGTGGCCTATCTACAAACTCCTCGTGAATACCTCTCTCTTGTGCCTTGTGATGGTCATCTCTATGCTCTTGGTGGTCTGCGCTGGGATCGCGTCCAGCAGAGTGTTGAACGTTACGATCCTGATGCTGACAAGTGGTGTTGCGTCTCCCAGATGCCTACGAAGCGCTACAACATGCAAGTGGTGTCTGTTGGCAACAGGTACGTCTACGCCATTGCCGGGAGAGACTCGTCACGCAGATCGACTCCTATCGTTGAACGCTACGACACGAAGACAGACGAGTGGACTTCTGTGGCACCCATCCCTACCAAAGATGGCCTCTGGGAATGTCCCGTCGTGGAAGTCTACCAAGGCCAAATATACGTCACAGACCTCTCGACCAAAGCCTACAGACTAAACGTCGAGCGCAATGCGTGGGTTGAGGCCCAGTGCAAGTTTGCACGGATACCGGAGAGAACTTGTTTCCAGTACTGTGCCATTAATCGCAATGTCTTCATCTTTGGCGGATGGGGTGAGCGATCCAACAATTCACCCATCTCCGATGCCTGTATATTCAACCAGGAGCTGGGCTTATGGAGCAACATAGCTCCGCCTCCTGCCTCGACCTTAGCCTCTGCTTGCTGCTTTCTCCAGGTGCCATATGAATTCCTCTCAGAGAATGGAACATGATAATCACATTCCATGGAAAAGATCCTTACAAAAAAGGTGAGTACAAACTGAGACTGAACAGCATTACACCTGTATATGCTCAAAGGCCATAGGCATACATGTAGATGGCACTAACGTAACATTTTATAAGTTAATGTCATTTATCTCTGACAGTTGAAAGCTTAAAATAATAGTTGCATTCATGAGGCACTTTTACCCTGAGGATATTGACTGCTGAATACTAAATTGCATGAAACATACTGTAACACAATTCATACTGTAATAAAATGATGTAAAAGTTACCAATAAATTTTTCAACAACAAAAGGTTAACAAAATAAAATTCCCAATTTTTGCCAAGTGGAGAACTATTTTGCAAATATAGAAATCACAAAACCAAAATACACTGCTCAGCAATGCATGTCAATCTCTTGACTGAAAGCAGGAATCTCCTATTTTTTAATTGTACAGTTCAGTGGTTTTGTCAATAGATGTATCTAATCTAAATTTCTGATTAATTGTGTACTTTTTGAAGATGCTGATCTTATATGATTTTGTGTACAAAATTGTATTGGTAAATTGTAATACAATACAAACATTGCTCTTTGGTTTGCAGGGCTTTATTTTTGACATTATTTATAATTTTATGGCTACATGTAGGTTGATGTGCTCTGCATTATGCTTTGTAGTCTGTTGGTGGGATGTGTATTTATCATTAAACACATGAATGAAGAACACCCCAAGACAGTGGGGATGAAAACAAACACCCCCTCATATTTTGACTGGTTAAGAAGCTAAATCGTCCATCCACATCATACCCTTTCCTAATGGGAATTAATGGGGCTTAAAACTGGGCATGAGCTTCCACCCATTATAAGATAACCACATAATCCCATAATACAGGGGTTGCTCCTAAGAGAGTAGAGACTAGGTATAATTTAAGGAGGTATAAATTTGTTCGCCAGCCCACTGACCTCTAAAAAGTTTAGAAGTCCAATTTATCCAAAAATATATATTCAAAAAAGTAATTCTAATTTGAAAAGAAACTAATCCTACCTAAAAAGGCGTAAATATTCACTTCTGAATGATAAACGCCTGTAAAACCTAAACAACAACACCAACCACTGCGGTGGGATTTAGAAAAGGCAATTAGAGTTGGCAATATACCCATCATGAATATAAAGTATATATGATTTTTGTAATTTTTATTATAGATTTTGTTTTGAGTGCCCAAATTACAGTGTAGGCCTACAAGCAATTTAGGGAAGAATCTGTGTACGTGTACATGTACATGTATGCACTTCATCTGTTTCCCCCCTCTTTCAAATATCTGCAATTACTAAATGTTCAATTCTGTGCATTGGCTTGATCTACAGTTACTGTATACTGTATACATTATATATTATGATTTTGCCTTCTACATCTTTTTTCATGTAGGCCTACAAAAGTAATTTGTATGCCCAATTAATTATAATAAAAAACAAAAATGAGCATAATGATAAGAAAGCAATATATTGATAAAGACACACAGTAAACATGTTTATAACTTGATATGGTATACCATCTTCTTATTTGACTACAGTGTTAGTAGAAATTTGGAATTCTGCATTTTATGTACATGTAGCACTTGTACAGTGAATATCAATTTGCAGACATACATGTACAGGGGCATGTTCAGCTATCTCCATCCTTTTTTGTATTGGGAGGGGGAATGCTGTTTTATAGGTATCTTATCTTGGTCAATCATAATGATTAATGAAACAAAAATAGAGAGTCCAGAAATGAGGAGTTAAAAAAAAGAATTATTCATTGACTAATGAATGGTTTTTTCCAAAAGCAACCAACATAATATTATATCAAATAAATAGAGGTCTGCCTGTGTCTGGCCACTTGTCTGTTCAGCGACTCCAAGAAGTTATTGGCTACACTAGATAGTACATATTTACAAATACTGTGTGCGCTGTCTGGACAGCCGTGAGTAATTTGTGGTAATACAGAAGTGGAGCGCATCTAAAAGATTTGACTACACATGGACTTGACAAGCATGATTGTACTCAAGCTTGTCTATCTCCCAAATAGTACATCCTCCTCCCTCCCACCTTACTCTGATGTGCTCATTTGGAAGTGCACATCATCAATATCCCCCTTCTCTCTTCCATCTCCTTTCTCTGTCTGTCTGCATATCTGCCTCTGTGCCTCTCTTTCTCTCCATATCCTTCTCTTTCCATCTCATCCTCACGTCTCTTACCACCTCCTTTTCTTCTTTCTTTCTCTCCCTTTCATATTTTTCTTAATTTCTCTCTCTCTCTTTCTCCTCTGTCTCCCTCCTCTCTATCTCTCTCTGTCTCTCTCTCTCTGTCTCTGTCTTTCTCTCTCTCTCTAATTCTGTATCTTTCTCTCTCTCTTCATATCTCCATCTTTTCCTGTCATCTCTATCTCTCCTCTACATTTTCGCTGGACCTCCTTTCTGTCTATTGCCTTCTCCTGTCTCCCTTCCCTTCACTTTTCCTCTCCCCCTCTCTCTCTCTCTCTCTCTCTCTCTCTCTCTCTCTCTCTCTCTCTCTCTTTCTTTCCCCTTGGAGCTCTACTTCTGACACCCTGTCTGTCCATCTTGGAAATTGTATTTCATTTATTTTATGTACCGGGCGAAAGGCAAACAGCCATCGTGCCTGCCGTCTTCTCCGCATCACTTTACCGAAATCAGAGCCAAAAGAAGGATAAGAATCTATCTCGTGTCCTCACGGGTATCCTTCCAACTCCTCTCATTTCTGGAGAAATCCTTTCTTTCTCCTTCACAGTTATCTCGTTGACATGCAGATCAAGTTTCAAGAGCAAATAACTGTCCAGACTTACTCACACGGTGAATCTTCCTTCCAATTCTCGTCGGGGTTTGCTATGCCAGTCTCCATTTGAGGTTCTCCTTTTCATTCTTTAGATTTCGAAAACATCCATCGCAAATTAAAAGTGTTAAGGCCAATCTTCTCCCATGGCCTTGTCATTTTTAACTTGATTCTTGAAAATAAATTGGGTCTGAGAGTCTTTGAACATCGAGAAACTCCCCGAAATAGTTTTTGAATTTCGTCTGAGAACCTGTAATGAGACTACTTCTATAGAGACATCAAGGTCTCCTAAAAGGCCAAAAGAGTGCATCTACTACTTACGAGACCATGCCCTTATGGGGTTATTTCCTGACGACAACCGCGATGACAACTTGGGCCGGAGTGTGAGAGGAAATTAAAGTGGATAATGGGGTTATGAGCTATTTGGAGATAAATGCTTGACTACAATGTTCTTCTTGGCAGCCCAAGGAATGATTGTAATGTATGTGCTGAGGACACATGGTCGGATAGCCCCCTTGATGGAAAATCTCTATTTTCTTTCTCCCCTCCCCCTCCTCCTCCTCATCTGTAAAATAATGTACAATATGTTTTCTATCAATCAAACTAAAAGGTTCATCTAAATGTTGATATTAGTGTTTGTTTTGAATTTGAAATTGAATTCAAATGTAAAGAAGCTCTGCTTTGAAAAAAAAATTTGAAAATGGATATTTTCTTTTTATTGTAATTTACCTATGATAGCTTCTTTCACAGGATTTTGTAAATGAACGTATTTTAAGATTTACACAAAATATTAAAATGAAGACGTTATAGCATTTCAGAATTTCTCGTATTACCAATCATTATGCATGCAGGAAACGAAGCATCCATAATTTTGAATTCATTTGTGAACAAATTCCATTTTCAGGTTCATTAGACAAATGGAAAGGGAATAGAAATAATGCATTAGCAAAGATCATTTTTCAAGATAAACCCAATCAGGCCTTAAGTTGGAACATCGTCTGTACCCTGCATGCTCGATGATGATCGTGTGCTGCCCCAGAAGGCATCCCTCGGAGGGTGATTTAGGTGATGGACATGCGCTCAGCAGAATGGGATTGAGGGGGAGAGGGTTTCAGACAAATGACATGAAGTAATGACACTGAGCTTGAGGCATTTGGGAAGGAGCTGGAATTGAAGGGAGCGCTTGAAGCATGAAATGAAAGAAGCAGTTGCATCTCTGTCTAGATTTGATAAGAAAATGACATTCAGCTCTGGGCTGTGCTCATACATATACACATTGTTGGGTAGATATCATGTGAATCAGGCGTTTCTGATATCCAGAAAAGAGATTGAATTGCTTCCAGTGTGTTTTGAACCCTGGATGAATAATGTTTTTGGTTCGTTTTTTAGATGAAGCAAGTTGATGGGAACATTGTTGGGTTTTGACAAGGTCTCTCTCTCCCAGCAGACAAAGGATTTTTGTTTGTCCCGTAGGGCAAAACATCTTCTATTCTATGGAGGTTGTCGTAGATGACCTGGAAAATGTATTGCGTTTGTCTCGTTCAAGCGTGGTTCAAGTAAATCAAGTCATTATAAATTGTGCCGGAGTGGAAAGATACAATGAACATATTTGCATTTTGTCCTTGATCGTTTTGTATATTCCATTTTTTGTTTCTCCTTGTTCTGTTCCAGGGACTAAAAAAACTCTTTTGTGACAACAGTAATTTCTTGAAGCTGCTTAGAGGGAGAAAGAAAACTCCAAATAGCATGCGACAGATGCTCTTTTCTTGTTGCAAAACATTTCATTTCCAGTCATCAACAATTGTCTCCAATTCAGCGAGGAGAAATGCAATTATTCACGGCAAATCGCTCATTTTTAGTCCTTGCCCCTCACTCCTCCAAGGCAAGTTGATGTGCCGTGGTGCTGCTCTTTCAGTTTCGACATCACAACTTGTTATGCTCGTTCATGCAAACATATTTTCAATTTGTAGCTCCAAAGAAATGAAATACAGTGTGAATGATTAGATTCTAAAATTACATCCTTTTATGATGGGCTTGGACATGTACGTCGAAGTGCATGTTATCCTGCATCCTACCCTCGGAAGAGTTCACACGCTGTCATTACGACCCCTCTGGTTAATCAGTAAAAATGTGTAATGGGGGCCAGGTAATACGCATCAATTCTCTTTATGAATACGACAAGTTACTTTTTGGAGGAATCATTTTCCATCTCGCTTGA